TTTTTTTTTTTTTTTTGCGCCAGGACCAACGATCACTAGCTGCCCAAGTACCAAAAAATTATGCTTCCGAAATCTCTTGATGTCGACTCCGCACGAAGAGCATACGAGCCGCCCCACGTGTGCCACTCACGACAGAAGCCCTTTTTTTCATCTACCCTTTTATCTTACCCTTTTACAATGTCAAGTTATTGAAGAAATGGATTATAATGCAACACTGTCATATTTTTAAGAAATAAAGACATGCAGACCCATGGATATTAGACACTCCAGAACATTTTATTTTTTTAAATTTGAAGATCAGTATAAATGATAGTGGCTTTCATAAATTTGAAATTCATATTCTCTTCACCAAAATCAAGGTAATTCTACAGCGTTTACTTCTCCAGCTCTGGCTTCTCATCTTCTCGACCTGTAAGATGTTGTCATGTGGAAGCCCTATAACCTTCATAATATCAAATGTTTCCTCTTAGGTGGTGAAAGTAAGTTGGAGTCAAAGAGAACAAAGACATCAGACAGTAGCAAAGAGGAAAGAAGGGGGTGCACACATTGCTGTCATTCAAATCCCTGATTCCAGTGATTCTAGAAGCTCCACTTCCCCCAAACCCCCTCTCTCAACCCGCACCCCAGCCCCCTGCTCCCACCATCTCTGGAGTCACTGAACTATCCTTATAAACTTTAACACATTCCCTTTTTGCCAGCAAGTTCAAATTGGGCTTACACCATTTACAACCAAGAGTCTACTAATATAACTGCCTTATGTAATACCTATATTACTATAAAGTTGGGCATAAATGATTTTTATAAATAATGTTTATATTTACAGAGCACTTCATGATTTTCTAAACACTGTTAAGCACATTATTTTTTCTCATTTGTTCAAATAATTGGGTGAGGTGGGTACAGGAGCATCTGCTATCTCTGCTATTTTAAAATAACAACAAAAAAATGTTGTCTTTGTCAATCAGCCAAAGAATCATTTAAATGGTGCTTGAGGCCACACTGCTAGGGAGTCAAAACTGGGGTTGAACTCCAGTCTCCAGATCCTGTGCTCTGGGTCCACAGCCCTGGTCTGCAGACTCCTGCCTGCTGCTCCTGGGATACTTTGCATCCATGCACGCACCTCAGATGCGCCGGCAACCGGCTCTGGAAAGGAAACCCTTCCACGGTGTAGATACCTTCCTTCTGACTGGTCTATTTTGTAATATGATTTTTACAGTAATAGTATTTCCTTAGTGCAAGATTCAGTTGGGCTGTAGTCACTTTCCTCACTGAAAGCTAACAAAGAATTAGTGACACCTTGTGGTAAAAACTTAATTCGTGTGCTACTACCACCCACTTTCAGTTGAGAGACTTGTCCAAAGGCCTTATGCACTTCACCAAGTTGTTAAAACAACAGCAAAACTTCCGGAAAGAATAATCTAAGGTTACAGACTCCACTTCTAATAACTAAATCTCTCCTCAAATCATTCCACTTGGGTGTCAGTCCCAGCACCTTCCCACTGAACTCCAGACTACCATCTCTGACCTGCCAACCTGACACATCCATTTGATGTCCAATTGCATCTCAAACTTAACCTGTGCAACCCAGAGTCCTGGATTTGCTACTTCTTCCACCCAATCCACTGCCGCTCTGTATCTGACAGGATTACCATGGCATTTTTGCTCCAGCCAAAAACTTCCTGGTCACCTTCATTCCTCTACTCCTCTGCTGCCATCTAATCAGCCAGTAAGTTGTCCAAACTCATTCTCCAAAATATCCCACAGGCATTCCTCTCCATCTTCCCTACAACCACCCGGACTCAGACCACATCCCCTCGCCAAGCTGCAACACCTTCCTGACTAGTTTCTTACTCTTCACCTCTTACAACCCATTTTTCACACAGCGATCTATCTTTGCAAGGCATTCCTCAGATAGTATAATTCCCCCCACCTTAAAACCTATGAGCGGCTCTCCATAATCCAAATTCCTCCCCATCCTACAAGATGCTCCATGATTGGACCCCTAACTCTCCTTAAAAACTCACTTCCAGACCCTCTCCCCTTGCTCTCCAGGTCCTACCCACACTGGCCTCCCTTCTGTTGCTTAGAACGTGGCAGCCTTACTCCTGCCTTGGGGACCCCCTCTGCCAGTTGCCTGTGCTGTTCCCCCAGAACATGATGTGCTTTGTTCCTTCTTATGTCCTTCAGATCTCCAGTTGAAGATTACCTCCTAAGGCCTCTTCTGCAGCTACTCTGGGCAGCCAGCTCAGGCGCTCCCCATCAGAACACCTGCTGGGTTTGCACTGCTGCTCTACTGTTCCCTGAAGTTTTCTTCTTTCTCTTTTATTTGCCTATTATCAGCCTCCCTTCACTAGAATGAAAGCTCCATCACACGTAGCTCTTACTAAAGTACCTGGTAGAAGGAAGGTGCTTGATGTTTGTTGAATAAAGAACTGTTGCAAGTTTTCTCTTGCATTCTCTTAGCTATGCTTAGAAACACTTCAGAAATCACAGCCACTCACTTACTTCTTTCATACTATAAAAGGAAAAGATGCTCCCTTTTCTTTTTCTTGGATAAAATGTACACCTGTGCTGGTCATTCACTCAACAAATGATTATAGCCAAACATTAAGCTATGTGGTAGGGCTACAAACATGAATAGGACACAATCCCTATGCTCAAGGGACTCGTGGTCTAGTTGTAAAGGCAAACATGTCAACAGGTCATTATAAATGCTATATGGTAAGTAAAAGATGGAAATATGGTTGAGGACGATGGAAGCCCAAGTTAGAGGCATCAGAAATGTGTTCTGGAGTAAACAACAGGAGCTGTGGCTTAAAAGACAGCAGAAAAACAGCCAAGAAATGGGGTGAGGGGAAAGCATAGATCATAGACACAGAGGTAGAGAACATGATAGTTTGTGCAGTGGAACTGCAAGGGTTCAGCTTTACTGGGGAAAAACAATTCAGGAAGAAACTAACAAACTTGAGACTGGAAAAATGGACGTTAACTAGATAGTGAAAGGCTTACAGCATGTTTAAGGAGCTTGAAGTCATAGGGCAAAGTGGTTCTAGAAATACCTGGGAAGGGAGCTGGCATGATCAGAGTTGCCCTTCAGTTAGACCATCCTGGGGTTGCACAGATCAACTTGGCAGTATGCGTCAGGTCAAAGGCTGGTAAAAATAGAAGGATGCAAAGAGGACTCAGAATCAAGAAACATTTAGAAGGTAAAATGGGCAGGATTTGGTGATTATTTAGGATTTGGAGAATGGGAGAGAAAGAGAGGACAGAGGCAGAGAGAGAGGAAAGAGAAACAGCAAAAGAGGTGTAGGAGTGGGAAGATAATGAGCACCATGAGCTAATACTTCAGTACACAGATTCTAAAATCAGGAGAATAAGGGTTCAGATTTTGGTTTTGACACTTGCCGTATGACTTTGGTAAGCTTCAGTTCCCTTGTAAGTTAAAATAGAATTAATCTAAGAACCTACCTCACAGGGTCACTGTAAGAAGTAATGAAATCATGTATGCAAAGTGCTTAGCATATTGTCTGATATATCAGAAACATCCATTAATTATTAAGGAATTTAAAAATTATTTCACTCTACCTGCATCTGGTCAAATTTCTATTTACCTTTCCTCCTACTACTATAGAGGAGCTGCTCTGCTTTCGGGCAAGGCCAACCCCCCTTCTTGCGCATAGGAGCCCACCTCTCCTTGCTGCATTGCCCCATCAATCCTTCCTTCTCTCCTGCATCATCAATTCTGCCCTCTCTACTGAATCACTCCTAGAAACAGACACATACACATACATTCTCCCATTAAGAAACACAAAATCTTCTCTTCACCCAATTTCCCTCTAGCTACCACCCTTTTTCTTTCTTTTCCTTTGTGATGAGTCATAAATCTCTGTCCTCCCATTTTCTTCTGAGTCCATAACTGATCTTACTCCTCCAAAACTCCACGGGGCACCCTTTTCTAGATCATCAGTGACCTCTATGTGGCTAGATCAAATGTTCACATCTTGCTTGGTCCATGGGTAGTACTCACCATCGTTGATTACTCCCTTCTCCTTAAAACACTTTTATCACTTGATTCCTGGTGACCAGACTTTCTGCATTTTCTTCCATTTCTCTGGTCTTTCTGTTTCAGTCTCCTTCATTGGTTATTCCTCATCTTTCTAACCTCTAACTAAGCTCAAGGGTTCAACTCTCTTCTCTTCAAACTCCCTTAGTTATCACACCAAGTCTCATAGTTTTAAATACCATCTTTATGCCATTGACTCAAAAATCTGTCTCTCTATCCACCCCTGAAGCCCTAGACTCCTGTATCCACCTGTCCACTCCGCATCTCCATGTGAATGACTAACATGCCTCTCAAACTTAATGTGGCCCAAACTGAGCTTCTAACATTCCCCACAATCTGCTCCTCCCCATGTTCCCTGTATCAGTAAATGGAAACTCCATTCTCGGTGTAGCTTCTAACTATGACAGAGTAGCTTGAATCAGAGCAACCCTCTTACAGGAATAACTGTAAAAGCTGAAAAGAAAAATAAAAACAAGAGTAAAACCACACAGGCTGTTTGCAGGTAGTAGAGAGCAATGCAACCAGTGAGGACACGAGGGGCTAGGTTGCCAGGGAGAAGGAAAACACCTGGTGATACAGAGATTCTCCATTGCTTTTCCTCCAGGGCGTTGGTTGAGTTTCTGAGCAAGGCACTAAGGGCAAGCAGAAAGCAGTGACCTAGCCCTATCTGGAGTCTTTCAGATCTTGGGGAGATAAAATTCAGAGCTGAGAATTGCAGACAGGACTTGAAAGGACAAGACCCCAAAGGGGAATCACAGAGAAGTAAGCCTGACAATTTGCTTGGCCTTTATCCTTAAGGCATTTGTGGAATGCTAAGCTGCAAGGGCACTAGAAATCAAGGAATCAAGCAGCTACTAAGTGGCTAAAAAGCTAAGTAGACCTTTCAAAAATCTCAGAGATGGGAATACAAAAACTGGAGTTCAAGATCCCTCAAAGATCTAAGGAACACATCTAAGGAACCCATTAAACAGCCCATGCTTTCTGTTGAGAATCCTAAAGGCCTATGCTCTGAGAAGAGGGCAAAACAGAAAGCAACCAGCCATCCCAAAGTCTAAATCCTTATTAAAGGTCATCTTCTTCTCCTACTCTGGCAGCTGGAGTAAATTTAAATCTGGAGAAAGATAACATCAGCCAGAGCCTCTCTGCAACTTTTTCTATACAAGGTCCAACATTTCATCAAAAACCTCAGAATGATGTTTGACTCCTTTCTTTCTCTAGTGCCTCACTTCTAATCCATCTGTTTCTATCTTCAAAGTAGATCCAGGATCTCTCTGGCCACTTCTCACCCCTCCACTGCCTAGTTCTCGGTCCGAGTCACTCTCTTAGCCAGGCTTACGGTTTCTATTTGGTCTCCACATTTCTTCCTTTGCCTCACTTTAGTAAATTCTCAATGCAGCCCGTAGACTAGAAATACTTTTTTTAGAAATCATATTGTGTCAAGCTTCTATTCAAAACCATCTGGAGTTTTTAACCTCAGAGTACGTTAGTCTTTACACTGACCTATGAGCACAATAATCTGAACTCCTCATCTCTCTGATTTCATCTCCTACGGCTCTCCTCTTTGTTCATTCTGCTCCACCCACCCTAGCCTCCTTACTTTTATCCTTCAACACACCTGGTTTGTACCTGTCTTACAACTTTGCACTGACTGCTTCCTGGAATGTTAGTGTCAAGTTTCACTGCTTCACCACCTTCACATCTTTATACTCAAATGTCACCTCCTCAGTGAAGGCTTCCCTAACCAATCTAAAATTTCTAGGTTCCCCTCCACCTCTGACACTTGCTAGCCTTTTTCTCTGCTCTAATTTTTCTCCTTAATTCTCATAATTTCTAACATATATATTTATTTTATTCACTTAGAATTCTCTAAGTACACGTTGGGCTTTTGGCCATTGATCAAGCCATTCTAAATGCTCTTCAGCCAAGATCCTCACCAGTCAAAACACTGTCATGCATCAAAGTCAATTTAAATGTCACTTTCTCCTCTAGCCTTTCAAGAATTGTCTCAAAATTAAGTGATTAGATGGAAAATCTTCATGCAGTGTTTTTAGCTCTAGCATTTACCATACACCTTTATCTTAGTGGTATTTATACAATGCTGCTTTAGACCATAATCTTCAAAGCACAGGAGGGGTCTAGATTTTAAAACAATGGTTTATCATTTAGGAGACTGGGGGGGGAAATGGAAGTTCCTAAAGCCAGGATGCTCACCTGACCCTAAACTACTTGATGATGTAATTGGCCTATCGTTAGGCTAATGCTTCCCCACCCCTAGGCAATAAGCTATTACTGAGTCACTACGTAAAGAGCTCTGCCCATTGCCCTGGGAGAAGGCAGGAATGTAGGTGGATTATGGACGTGCAGACTGCTGGATGCAGACATGATTCTAGTGCTCAACCTTCCGCTGGAAGAATAAAGCCAGCTATAAACCCTTTCATCCCAAGAATATTCCACTGTAATTTCTCCGGTCTCACTCAATACATAGTGAATTTGCCCAGGGCTGAAACCTTCAGGCAAGACGACACAGTTCTAAGTAGTTTACATTTACTAATGCTTTTAATCCTCATGACAAACCCTGAAATATGCAAAGTAGTTTAAGCACAAAAGCATTAACTTGGGGGAAGTTATTGCAGAACCTGGATTCAAATCGGAGACAGCTCTTGGCTGAACTGAAGGAATAAATGCAAATGCAAATAATCGATCACTTAGAAATGTTTGCACAAACTACAAGATTTTTAACATTTCTAATACAAAACCCAAAGCATCTAAACCCAGACCGACCCCCTAATGCTCTCTCCTTCAGGGCCTAAAATCAAACACTCCACAAAGCGCCCACTCCTTTCCCAAAATGACATGTCTGTGGCGCTGCCCTTGTCGCTCAGTGCGCGCAAGAGTCCCCTGAGGCTCTAGACGCGGAGCGTCAGGCAGAGAAGGCGGGGAAGGAAGGCGGGCTCGGAGCGAGCGCGGCGGCAGCGCCCCTGGGCCGGCACAGGGGGAGCTGCTGGGAGGCCCGGAAGCCCCTGCCCGGCGCTGGCACGCTGACAGAGCTGGGAGCCCACCGCAGGCGGGCAGCCCGGGGAAGCAGCGCGGCGACAGCCACCGAAGGAGGACCCGCGGACCCCTAAGGAGCGGGAGCACGTGGGCCTGGGAGAATGGCGCCGACACCAGCCCCGCAAGGGCGCACCGCAGAGTGAGGACGGGGACCGCTGCCTCGCCCCAAAGGGCCTCCGCGGAGGCCGCCACGCCCACCACCTTGGCGAGACGGCGCCTAACGCGCCGCAGCGCCGGCCCAGGAGGGCCGGGCGGGCGGGGCCAAAGGCCGGAAGTTCCTCGGCGCTCCAGCCTTGCAGTGACACCCGCCCGCCGGAAGTGCTCGGAGGTCCCGCCCCCCGACGGAACTCTGGGTTGCTGGGCAACCGGCGCTGGCGCAGCGGGCGAGCTCCACGCTCCCAGGAGCAAGACCCGCGTAGCGCCCACCTCCTGCCCCGGCAACCTCCCATCCCGCCCGCCTCGCTGCTTTCCGCCTCTCCTTGCGTCGCGGAATCCCTGCCCTTGGCACCACCTACACGTTTCCGGTTCCCACGACACCTTAGCGCCCACCTGCCTCAAAGCCAAGCTCCACCAAAAGCGAAGCGGTCCGACATCCGACGTGACTTCCACGTTGAGCGACCGCACCTCCCCGGCTATGGGCACCTACACCTACACCTACACCAGCCGGCCCCGGGCCTTGCCCTGCCAGCGCCGCCGTTACCGGGACAACCCGATGCAACCGTGAGTGAGCAAAGCAGCCCCTGTGTGCACTCCACCTGCCTCCCAGCCCGAGGCGCGGGTCCTGGCCCCTTCGCCCTGGCAGAGGCCGTGTGTGCTGATTTCCCTTCTGCACACACTGCCGACAAAAATGTCTTCCCTAAAGAATCCCCCGTGGTGTGGAGGAATGAAGCAGGAAGGGGCACGGGTGGCCTCCTTAGTTAACATTTAGTGTTGAAGAGTTGCTGACTTGATAGATAGGATGTACAGGGAACCGACATCCTTCACGAGGTTGGAGTCAGCTAATGTTTATTGTTGACCAACTGTGTGCCAAGTACCTTTCTAGGGACATTTACATTTTTCTTAATGGACAGTGCTGTGAAGTTGTTTTTATAACTCCATTTTGCAAATGAGGAAACTGAGGTACAAAGGTATCACACACATAGCGTGTCCAAAGTGAGAGCCAAGTAAAGCTCTGTCTACACGTCTTTGGTCAAGAATCAGGTTATCCTTCCATGCTGAACCCCAAATTGTATTTTTATGTTAATAAGTATTTTCAAATATTTAAATACCCATATCTAGAAAGGACCATAGGCATTATGGCTGTCTTGAAGTTCTTTACATACGCCTCAAATTTTGGAACCAAAACTTCCCAAGAGTACAGGCTCCATGGAAGCAGAAATCCTTGTCTTTTGTCCACCCAGCACCATTCCTAACACACAGCACTCAACACAGTTGTTGAACTGATGGTTGAATATTAACAGTGTAAATCTTGATGCTTATTTCAAACACTGAGTCTAAATTCATAGTTGTCTTGTTCTGACTGTCTTTTTAGACCTATCACTTTAAGAAAACCAAAAATGGAAAATTAAAAGAGGGATTATTTATATTATAAAAGTTCAATTTAAAAAGGGACTCCTTTCAGAAACACTTTCTGGTGCCTTTATGTGGTTGCTTACAAATCACTACTACAAAAATCAGACCAATAGATGAAATAAGAATCAATGTTGGCTCATTAAGAACGCTTGTTTTTATAGTTAGTTGATAAGCAAGTTGCAGGACCTTGCTTATAATTAAAGTAATCCCTTGATTCAAGCCATTGGTAGGAGGGTGTGTATTTGATTTTTCAGTTTATAATTATCCTTACTGGTGATTTTCAGGTTATAAAAGTAATATAAGCTTGTTAAAGCAAATGAAAAATAAAAAATCAGAATGAATAAAGGCAAAGTTAATTATTTCCTGCCCACCTGTCTCTACTCCCACTTCCCTGCTGTAACCAAATTTAACAAGTTTTTATTATTTTTCTACACCTTTTTGCTTTATACACATACATGAGCATATGTACTTTTATGTAGGTTTATTTCCAAAATAGAATCATACTACATGTATTAATCTGTAATTGGCTTTTTCCTCTTTATCACAAGCTCTAATTCCTTTTTTTCCTAATTTCTCTTTGTATACATACACATACATATTTAATTTACATAAATGGACTCCTGTCATTCATGCTTGGGTACATTCTTAGTCCCCCACTGCCTTTCCTTGCAAACCTGTCCTCTCCTGCCCCCAAGGTAAACCATGTTAATGACCTTGCATGAATGCTTCTGTATTTTTTTCCCACACTCATGTTTACGTAAAAATGTATAAATATATACATACAGATATACACACATAAGGGCTTTGTCTACTTCATAGCACTGGTAACATACACAATTCTCAACATCTTCCTTTTTTCACTAATTCTTTGTGGAAATCCATATAATTTTTAATAGCAGCATATCCTGTGATATGGATGTACCATAAGTTGTTAAAATTTTCCACTATTAGATACTCAGTTTGCTTCAAGTTTTTACCACAAAGAGGGAGGTTTCAATAAACAACTTTACTGACCTTTTTATTTCCATGAGGCAGATATTCAGGGTGGGGTTGTTAGGTCTTGTACACTTTTAATATGAACAGATGGAACAATATGCTTTTCCTCCAGGAATGTTTAAGCTTATCCTTTGTCCCACACCCTCACCAGCAATTGGTATTACAGATAGTTTTTTCTTTTTGACTTTTGATAGTATAAGAACAAAACCAAACATTTTCCTCATTATTACATTAATTAGCACAAGGAAACTTTAATCAAGTAAGCGTTATGTTTGGATTTTCCATCCTAAAAGCCTACAATATTCAGAACAGATTGAGGGAGAAATGTTGTTCCAGAGAGCTAAGAGATTAAAAGCCTTTTGTAATAGTGCAGGGAAAAGATAGTGCTGGCAGTGAGCCATGGATACATGCGAAAAAAATGCAGGGTAGAACCAGTAGGACTTACTGGATGTAGGGACTAGGGAAGAGGGAAGAATCATGGATGACTCCCAGGTTTCTAGATTAAGCCAATTGGGTGATTAATGGTAGTACCTGATATTTCATTAAAAATTAGTAGCAAGTTAGAGTGGGAAAATGATCATCAATTTTGAGGTTGCCTTTGAGACATCTTAGACGTCATAAGCATATCAATTAGATTTACATGCCTGGAACTCAGAGGAGAGTTCTGACCTAAAGATGAAATAAAATTGGGAATTTGAGGCATATGGATCGTAAGTTGAAGCCTTGAGAATGAATGGGTAAGGTCAATTAAGAAAAGCTGGGCCATGAGAATATCTTCCAGTACAGCGAGAAGCTAACAAACACAGGCTGAGAAAGCAGCCACCAAGGTTCAGAAGAACAGTCAGAAGAATACCGTGGAATCACAGAGGCCTGCAAACGCGAATGCTTCAGTGAAGGAATGGCCAGCTGAACTGGACATGGCCCTGAGGCAAAGTAAGATAACCAGTGCAGCTCGCCTGGGTTTTAAGTAACATGAGATCAGGTAGTCGTTTCAGTATATGATAAATAAGCAACTTACCACCCCTCTCAAGATCATTTCAGATCGAGTATTGTATTGGTGTTGGTTGATATTTGGTTTGATAAGCATAAATAAGATAGCTTTTAAAGAACTTTGAATGAAAATAACTATGTATTTTTCATTATTGAGCATACTGATGTATGAAATTAGAATTTTATTAATTTTAATAATTTAAAACATTATTTTTTAAAACCTTTGAGGTTAAAGAACAATGAGAAATTTTACTTACTTTATTTTTTAAGGCTGATTGTATTATAACTTTTCAATCCTTGAATCAAATTTTTGTCAACCCTTTAGGACAGGCTCCTTTTTGGATGAGCCATTTTGTTAGCTAGTGTAACAGATTTACAGCATAAATCTCACTCTGCCACTTACTCATTAGGAGACCTTGGGCAGATTCGTTTCTGAGTCTACTTATTCTTCTGTCAAATGGGAATTGTAGTTCCCAGCTTGAAGCTTATTGTGAGCAATAAATAAAATCATGTGTGGACCTGGCATATAATAAGCATTCTATAAATAGTAACCATTTGTCTTCTTATTTTATGGACTGCGCTAAACAAAAATCAATTTTCTTAAAATATTTTCATCTTAGTCTAAATGCCATTAAGAATGACTTGACGTCATAGATACCAATATGCTATTGTAATAGTTATTTACAATTTGTTACTTTACAGAGCTGAAGAGCCTATGCATTATGGAAACATAATGTATGACAGAAGGGTGATCCGAGGCAACACTTACGCTTTACAAACAGTACTGCTGGTAAGTGTAATTTGAATAGTCTAACTCAGAGCTTTTCAAGCACCTGTGGTGAAGGACAAGTTTGTTTGTTTCATCTAATTTCTAATCTGTTGCAGACTAAAACATTTATAAAATGTTTTATAAATGCGTTACTAAAAAAATGAAAAATTTAAAAAAGACATGCAAAGTTCAGACCCAAATGTGGTTGCCAGGAGCTGTGGGGATGAGGGAATAGGAGTTATTGTTTAATGGCTGCAGTTTCAGTTTTCCAAAATGAAGAGTCCTGGAGTTGGAGGGTGATGAGGTTGCACAGCAGTGTGAGTGTATGTAATGCCACTGATCGCACACTTACAAATGATTATTTAATACCACTGAACTGAACACTTAAAAATGATTGCAATGATAAATTTTATGTTGTGTGTTTGACCATAATTAAAAACAATGATTAAAAAAATACAAGCCCCAGTTTTTTATTAGATTAACATAACTCTGGAAAACTGCTCTAAAAGTTTCTAAGCTTTTGCTCTCAATAATTAATTTGTAATTGAACTATTACAGACCAGCTCAAACAGTTCACAGACAGCACTAGTCTGAAGACCACACTTTGAGTAGCACTGGTCTTATATATTTAGATGTATTTAAATTATGTCAAACTCTAATACTATTATAATTATTTAATCAGAAATTCTGGTTATACTTCTTTACTCTAATTCACTCAACAAATATTTATTGAATTTTAGGTCCTATGCTGGGTACCTAGGATCCAGAGATGAGTAAAATGTGGCATGATATTAAGAGTAGTGATATCTTGGCACAAAAATGATACCTAGTTAATCTGCAAACACTATATGATGTTTAAGTGCCTAACACCAACTGGAATTTTAGACATTCCAAAGCAGTAAACATCAAAACCACCTAGAAAACTCATTCAAAATATGTTTGCTTCAGTCATATCCTAGATCTACTACATTAGAACCACCAAGGGTTAAACAGGAATTATTTTATTAGCACTATTAGCTTATTAATATGATTAGCATTTATTAGTATGGTTAATCAGCTTCTTTAGGCAATTCTGGTATAGCCAGTTCAGAGACAGCATTTGGAAACAACAGCTCAAATATGTGATACAGCATGTGTTTCAGCATTTTATTGTGACAGTAACAAGGAACACTACCTTGCCTAGAACAAAAGTAGAAAGGACACTCACTATCTTTTCAGTTATTTTTTTAAAAGTTCATATTGTGACATTTGATACAGTTTTTTTTTTAGTCTTAAGTCAATTATTCAACACCTTGCCTTAAAAGTCTACACTGAGACTTCTACTTCCAGACCAACAGGAATTCACCAATTCCTTCCCATTACTCCCTTTTACAACAAAAAACCCTGGGCATAGCACAACAAACATAAGAAGACTTTAAAAGTAGAAAGAATAAAGTGGTCTGACTAGGGACCTGAGGACTTGAGTGAGTTCCCTGGAGTTTCTTTTGCCTCACGCATACCGCATTCAGAGCACTGGAGAAGCCTTCAATCTGGCATGAACCACCAACAGGCACACCCTAAGAAAAGCCTGCTACATCTATCCAAAAGACTGAGAAAGGGGCAGCTTGGCAGAGCAGCAGTGTTTTATACTACCCCTCTTCCAGCCAAGCACCGATGGAAAACTGCCCTGGGCCCACCCCATGATATCAGTATGGACTGAGGTGGGAAGCAGGGCTCTGTCCTCACCTGGCAGCAACACTGCAGTACTAATCAGTGCTCTGATTTACCCCCCGAGGTGGTGTCAGTTAGGATGGAGCAGGAATCTGGACTTCCACTCTCATCTAGGAGGAGTGAGGTGATAAGAGACAGTACAAGTTGGTGCCCTACTTTTGCTGGATTGGTGTCAGCGGAGCCAAAAGGGAGCTGAATGTTCAACACTATCTGACAGCAACAAGGAGGAACAAGATGGTAGAAGGCATTTCTAGTCAGAGGTCTGCTCCCCTGGACTCCAGCACTACTGTGAGCAGAGCAGAGCAGAGCAAGGACCTCAAGGCACCTCCCTGCTAGGCACCAGTAAGGTGATACAAGTTCACCCTCTGCTTTCACTGGGGTGGTGTCCATCAGGCCCAGCAGGGTGCTGAGCTTGCATCTGTCTGCATGCTAAAACAAAAAAGGTAACTTCTTACTGAAAAGACTAAATAAGATCCAGAGTCTCAACATAATACCCAAAATGTCTAGAAAACAATACAAAGTCGATCGTACTGAGAACCAGGGCAATCACAGCTTGAATGAGAAAAGTCAGTTAAGAGACAACACCACCAAAATTATTCAGATGTAGGAATTTACCTTACAAAGATTTTTAAAGCAGCAATCATAAAAAATGCCTCAATAAAAAGTGAATCATTATGAACGTTCTTGAAACATGAAAAAATAGAAAATCTTAGAAAAAAAAATCCTGGAAAATATAGAACTGTAAAAGACAATAACCAAAATAAAAAGCTCACAGTAGAGACTCATTGGCGATAACATAGGAAACAATCACCGAATTCAAAGACAAATCAATGGAAATTGCCTGGTCTGAACGACAGTTATAAAATAGTGTGCCACCCCCACCACCATATCCTGCCAGACACACACACACACACACATGCCTCACAGAGCTGAGAAACAATTACAAAGTATCTGATGTTCATGTTACCCGAGTCTCAGAAGGAGAGGAGAAAAAGCCAGGACTGAAAAAATACTCAAAGAAATAGCTCCTGAAAATTCCACAAATTTGGCAAAAGGCTTAAACCTACAGATCCAAAAAGTCTGCCGAACCCAAGCCGGATAAACCCAAAGAAATTGACACCAAGAACCATCAGAGAGGATTCTGAACCCATTTATTCCAGTTAACAGTCATACTCTGAAGCTACTTTTATGCTTTGTCAGATAATTTTATAATTGCCAAAGTTCAAATAAAATTGTAGTCATCAAGTCACTGATAATCACTATGTGACAGATGCTTTTAGACTATCCAGGAATCATTTTTGGAATGGTAGCTCAATGTACTTGGAGAAACATTTCCTAAATTTTAAAAGCATTTTCTGTCACTCAGCCTGGGCAGCCTGATCCTCTAGAGATTCAGAGACAGCAGCAGGCTAGGAGGAAGGTTCTTGCCAGAAAACGAGCCCAAGAACAACTCAGACCACAAACGCCTGAACCCGTGGAAGGCAGAAAGCATGTGGACGTGCAGACAGGTATGTGACTGTGGCATGGTGGCTCAGTTTTCTAAGTCAGTTCATCTTTATTTGGCCTTTGTATTATTTATGTATCTGTTATGCAATCCAGTGCTTCCCCAGTCACATGGTAGGAAATGTCCCCAGGGCCACACAAGCTCCCTAGGCCAGTGCCAGGCTTTTCCTACTTGTCTGTTCTCAGCTATGAAGGCTTCCTGGACCTATAGGGTCTAGCTATGTGGTTGACAAGAGTCTTGATAATCACACAATTCTTGGTGTTTTCCTTGGACCAATGTAACCACTCAAGATTTACCTCGTACTCGGCCAAGATGGTGAGTGGCTTCATCAGTCATTTCTAGGTAGTAGAGGAAAAGGAAGAGAACCATTCTGTATTTTCCCCCTACCTTGAGGCCACCTCGTGAATGAGTGTATGTCCACAATTAGCCAGAATATTGTAATTGTGTAACAGCTAGATTTTAGTGTTTACTTATGCCAGCAGTATATTAAGTGATACAATAGCAGCCACCTTTTGTTGAGTATTTCCTATATCTCAGGAACTATACTAGGTCCTTTACCTATATTTCTCCTTTGTTACTACAAAGATTCCATGTGACCATTAATTATGATCCCTGTTACAGATAAACGGAGGCCTAAAGAGGCTGTAATTTGGCTAGGCCCTTAGTTATATGGATAGATTATTAACTTTCCATCTCCTGTTATGTACTTCTGTGGTTTCATATTGTTCTTTAGTTCCATTTTCAAAACAAAACATAGTGCTTTCCTGACATTCAACAAATGTTGTAGCCTGACTGATTCTTTGGTCTTCCAAATATACAAAAATGCTTTATACAGTATGTGAATTGCATCCCACATTTGAGCACCTTCATTCTAAGATTTATTTTCTGATTGATTTAATTCTGTTTTAATGAAGCTGAAGTTTCAAATACACATGTATGCTTTAAATGCACCAGAATTTCAAACTCCGTGTAAATGATATTCTCTTAGAATTATATCTTGAAGAAATTGCTGACCGTGTAATAGAAGTTGATATGGAATGCCAAACAGATGCATTTTTGGACAAACCACCAACACCACTCTTTATTCCTGCCAAAACTGGTAAAGATGTGGCCACCCAAATACTAGAAGGAGAGGTATGGTACATTATTTGAATTCCCCTCCAACTTCATAAATAACTAAGTTAAGGTTAGTTGTAAGTGAAATATGAGTAAAATTAATTCACAATCAGAAAGATTCTACTTACTGGATTTCTCTCAAAATTTATCTGTAATTATTCTGAAGTACCAAGAAATGTTTTAAAATATCATGTTCTGATTTATCCTCTTTGCTTATCAGAAATAAAAATCATTAGAAATATTTTTAGAATATTTACTGATTTGAATTTTGTGTTTGCATTACTTGCTTAGTGTATGAAAAACTACATGGTAGATTTCTACCAAATAAGGAAAAATAACATCTCTGGTATAAAAAGTTTTACTGTTAGTTCACTGTAGACTACATAACTGTTATGAAGATAATCTGTTAGAAAAAAATCCTAAAATAATTATACTTCTTATCAGTGTGGAATGAATCAATAGGCCAGTTTATGAAATTGAAGAAGAGAAGGCAATGCTTATATGCGTTACAACTTAGGTGAGATTTAAGACTTGAAGGAATTTAAGAGAACTGTCGTTGAAATTGGGAAATAAAGTAAGTCTTCATAAACTACACAGCAGGGCATATTTGCCTCTAAAGCCTAGAGGTGAATCACCAAAATACCATTTTTCTTTTTCCTCACTTCTTCAAACTGCTATTAGAAACAAACAGTAAAAATCAAGCAGTAAGTAGAGAAAATAAAAAAGATAAGGATATTGCCTTTGGGTTAGTTGGATCTTAAAATTGTTGAGTGTCAGGGTTCATTTTGATACCTGCATAGGTCTTTTTATAACTCTGACACAAACAATTTTGCCTATAAACAAAAGGCTATTCTGTTTTGAGGACTGGAGACTGTAAATAAAGCACCAGCACAGTGTCTGGGACACAGAAGACACTCAATAAATAGTTTCATGTTATTGCTACTCTTCTGGATATTTTCTCATTGAACATTTGGTTCATGATTAAAAATTCTAATTTGCTTTGTTTTGTGTGTTTAAGCTCTTTGACTTTGATCTTGAAGTTAAACCAATGTTAGAAGTTCTGGTGGGAAAGACCATTGAGCAGTCGCTTCTGGAAGTAATGGAAGAAGAAGAGTTGGCTGACCTGAAGGCCAGTCAGCGTGCATATGAAGAGCTACGCAACGTTGAACTTGCTGAAGTTCAACGACTTGAAGAGCAAGAGAGACGACACCGAGAGGAAAAAGTATAGAATTCTGGATTTCTTTCTTAGTCTTTTGCTATTTGACAGATTATGTTCAAAGTCACATGTGGTACATTGTAGAGGTCAAGATCTTTGGAAATACGTTGGAAAAGACCCATATATATTTGGTTCTCAGGTCTCTCCTCATCTATAGATCTTTCATGGACCAAACCTCCTTTTTAAAATTCCACCTTATGTAAATGTACCTAAGTAGAGTTCCCAAAACTTCCTTGATGTAATAATTTTAATTACATATGTCCCAATTGAAAGGCATTCTTAACTACCAAGAGTCTTAGAGAAAGAAATGCATCAACGTGCCATAAGTCAGTGGCAGAAAAGGTAACTGGAAAAGGTGTGGTATACTGGGAATTGGAGAGGGATAAGAAGCAGAGGGTCTGGATGGAATTCGAGATCTTTTCCTTAGTGATCAGGACCTTCTTTACACCCCAGAATTTCTTGGATCTTTATAGAATTTTTTTTTCGATTATAGGTTTTTAGAACCTTTAATAAGAAAAGTTTTAGAATCCAGCTTTTAAAATATGTCAATAGCCTCCAGTTAGGAAACCCTGGGCTCAGTACTCTTTAAGAGTCTTTCTGGGTCTGGCAATAACTGCCACCCTATGCCGTATTCTAAGTGGACAGACCATAAAGGAGGGCCGAATATTTAAGAGGGTTCAAATAATTTCCCATGGAGTCTAGATTACTACACAGACTACCTTAGTGGTTGGGATATTCTACCCAATGCCTAATCAAATGGACTTTCAGTTTTCCTCCAAAATGCATAATTGTGTAAAGAGAATAGTTGTTATGGTAAAGATTTTGCAAATGTAAGGCTGTTTACAAATATAAATGAACATTGACACAATTAGTTTTGTTGATAAGAAATCTTTATCAAAGAGTATTTATTTGTTCATTTACTATTAGGAAATATATTGTGAGAAAATAGGGAATACAAATCATCTAGATTTATATTTGCTTAAACTTTGAAAATAGACTGACTTAGAAAATATATTAATGCCCCCACTTGCACATGAAAGTAAAGAAAATGGTTCATTAGCTTTATTGATATATGGTCTACAAGAAACAACAACAAAAAACGGGTTTTATAATTTTCAGAACTTCATGAGTTCAAAGAATCATTACAGATGAGATAATTCATTGGCCCAAGTTCTTAACTGAAGATGTCTAAGCAACAATAGTTTTTCATACCAGCAATACCTTATGAGAATACCAATTTAAAGTACATGTAACTGTTATTATTCTTTGATACCAACCATGCAGTCAAGCATGTATAACTTGAGATTATTTTATTTGAAAATGGATCAGGAGATGAAATTTACTTAAGCTCTGTCCCTTTTCTGAATCAGTACCTGCTAATTGTTGAAATTCATTAAAATCTTATTGAAAAATGCCAATTGTTTATAGATACCTTACCACCCATGTTTTGATACAAATATAAGCCCAGATTCTTCCACTCACCAGATGGAGTATTCAGGGAGAATGTAATAACTAAGCATTTATGATGGTGCTTTTCTCTGGACAGGAACGTCGTAGGCAACAGCAATGGCAAGTGGCCCACAAGCACAAGGAGACTGCAGAGAAAATTGCCGCCCGAGCATTTGCACAGCGTTACCTGGCCGACCTTCTCCCCTCTGTTTTTGGCAGTCTCAGGGATGGTGGCTACTTTTATGATCCCATTGAAAGAGGTTAGTGGAAGTTTTTGTTAGATTAACTCTGTTACGATAAGCATCCTGTAAATAGTTCAGATTTATCTCATGCCCATTTTTATTTTGAATTGGAATTTTTCTATCTGAAACAAACACAATTATAGTGTTGTAATTGAGGTGTATTATAATGAGAGGTGTATTATAAAGATCTTGATTTTAGAATATTAGTTTGTCTCTATTGAGAAACAGCATTGGATAGTAGAAACACATAGGGACTTGATGTCAAAACTTGAGTTTGGGTTCCAGTTTCATCATTAACTAGCTTTATGACCTTCAGTTTCCTCACATGTGAAATGAGGATTATTTAGGAATTAAATGTCACTATGTATGAAACAGTACATGTAATTTATATATGTAAGTAGTTGTTACTAACTTTTTCTCTGCTGACTTCCTCCTCTAATCCGAAACCCTCTGGGAGCAGTCCTGAGGTCATGTACTCATTTAATTAGCTGTTGCCACCACCCCAGCAACTGTATTAGGTGTTGGAGATAAAAAGGAGGCCTGATGTCTGCCTTTGTAGGCCCCTTACCTGTTAGCTTCTGTTCGTGTCCCCTTAGGGCCACCTCTCAGTAGCCTGTCTGGCCAAATGAAAGGTAAAAGTTGCCATTTTCTCACTGCCGCCCTCCTTCCTCAAGTTCAAAAACATTTTAGTCCACATTGTTTTGTATACAAGTCCTATTTCAAATGGCTAATAGTATTTTGGGGCAGACGTTAGTAATGTTAATTTTCACTGATTACGTATTCAATTCAATACATAGAGGTCAGATTACAGTACATTTTATATTGTGCTTTCCAATTTTCCCATGTTTTCCATACATGATACTATCTGACCCTCCCAATAATCCTGTTGGGTAGGTAGGGCAGATCAATTACCATTTTTAAGAAGTAGAAACTGGAGCTGAGAGGTTATATGCCTTGTTGATGAGCACGTCAGGGAACACACATCAGGGACTTTTGTAAACACATCTTACTCATGAAATGCAGGGAAGTGTTTGGGCCTCGGACTGACTGGATTCTGACTCCAGGTCGCACTCTTTCCCTGCTGCCTGGCCCCCTTCCTGGAGTCTAGCTAGGCTTCCTGCTGCTGGCCACACAGGCTGGCAACCTTTTTCCTCTTAAGAACTGGAGAAAAAGTCAGTTACAGATCAGCTTGCAAATGAGTTTCATGCCTCAGATTAAAAATAGTAGTGAATATAATATTCTATCACATTCCCTGTTGCCACTCATTGAAAAATAACTTTGACCCCCCCCAAAAAGTCATTTGAAATGTTAAAGTGTATATTGAAATGGATCATATCTTTTAAAGGTTCACACATTAGAGAAGATTTCCATTTTGATTTGAACAAATTTATAACTAATAGAAACCCCTAGTTTATGACCCATTTCTAGATGGTCTTCCAGATGCTCTCTGACCTTTATCCTCTAATTTTGATCAGCTGTTACAAGGCCCTAGTCTTCAGGTGGGGACATTCTTTTTACTTAGCATCATTCCATCCCAGATTTGCATAACATTTGGATACAGTTCTGCTCCCAGAGCCACATCCCCACACCAGCCACTCCTCCCTACCACATGCTTACTTGATCCATCTTGGATTGCATCTATAAAGTCAGCTCTAAAGGCTTTGACTCCAAGGAAGGCCTCATAGTCTTGAAAATACTATTCCTACTGCAATAAAAAGGAAATGGACCAGAACATATACAGAGGATATGGCAAAAGTAGTCCTGTATGAGTCTGTTTGACATTTTGTATTAAGAAAAAATTGTTGGTGAGTCTCTAACATGAAGGGAAAAGCACATATTCTTCCTATCTATAATGATTCAGAAAAATCACTTAGAAACTAACTTTTTGTATTACAGACATTGAGATAGGATTCCTTCCATGGCTAATGAATGAAGTTGACAAAACCATGGAATACAACATGATGGGAAGAACAGTGCTTGACAGTAAGTTCTTTTATTTTATTTATAAGTCATCTCTGAAATATTTCAGTAGAAAGAATAAATAGAAAATGTTAATTTTACAGTTTTAGTTCTTAAATTTTCATTTCATCAATTATATTAAAAAGGTACAAATTTTTACTCTCAATATTATTTTTGATTCTTCTATAATTTGATCAGAATATCTTCTGTCATGACTTTATAAATGATATTAAAACAGGCATTGAATATAATTCATATTCAATGTATTAAGTGACACAGAAGTTAAGTGTGCTGACTTTGTAGAAAAGGTTATGATCTAGGGAAGGGATGAGGCCTGGTAAATATTTTATACTCTCTGTAAATCAGCATTATAACTACTAAAATACGAAAAATCAGTGATTTCTGTACATGTAATTTTTCAGTGTTGATTCGTGAGGTGGTGGAGAAGAGACTGACTATGTATGAGCAGAATGAGGACAAGCACTCATCTCTGAAACCCGGGGACAGGCTCAGTGGTCCTGGAGCAATAAGAGAGCCATTCATGGATGATGACTTCCAGGAACAAGGTGTATCACAGTCACAGAGGCCAGTTCCAGGCAGGGACTTCCTGCAAGGAACCCCATCTGACGGAAGGAACATGGGGAACGTGTCTTTCCAAGAAAGGAAGCTTATGGAAGAAGGAGAAGAGGAACCCACAGAAATGAGGAAATCCTTTGGGAGAGAAGAAATGTCACAGCAGAGGGGTCCTTGAGAGCCATGAAACCAGTCAACAGGCAATCAGCATTGCAAGCAATCAGGTAATGACGGGTGAGTCCCCTAAGGTGATGGAAATTATGTTAGATTTAGTCTTACAGACTGGGCAAATCAAATATGTTGACATAATACAATTAAAAAATGAAACCTATTTAATTCATTTATTTAATAGTAGAATATCTAGAAGCTACTGTGTAACTCTAATGAGAATTATTAATTCCAGGCTTCCCATTACAACTCAGTATAACTAACAAATATATTTTTCCTTACTCTTCATAATTTCAAGGATTAGTTCTTCTTTTAGTAAGTATGATACTTATTGTTAGCTATTGGTTTTGTCAGCCATTGAGATTTTCTTCTTCACAGGAAAACTGTCTCAGTTACTCTCTGAAAGAATACCTACCTAGATGTGTGTCACTGAGAGCTGTAGAGATCCATCATTGCCAGGACCAGGAATTACACCCTCATTTGTGTGAGATTAAATAGTTACCCCTTTCATCATCAAAATTCAAGTAAGGCTCAAGGGATTCTGAGAATTAGTAATGTACTCTCATCTATTTTTTTGCATTCCTGTTATTGAAAATATTCAGGCCTGAAACTAACATATTATATCAGTTATACTTCAATTAAAAATTTTTCAAGCAGTGTCAATAAAACTGAAGTCCCTAACTTGTCTTTACGCATTCCACTCCCCTCCTCAAAGATAACCACTATTATCGATAAGTTGTGTATTTCTGGGCCTTTTTCAAGTTTTTTTAATATACATATAGAACACTTAGCAATATATGGGTTGATGGGTTGATGTTTCTCTATATAAATATAAATATATTATGTGCATTTTCTACCTAACAGTAAATCTTAGACTTTTCAATGTTAGTACACATAAATATCATTTTAAAATATGGTAAGGTATTATATATTATGACTGTGTTACAGGAAATTCACATTGACTTTTTAATCTGAATTTGTGTAATTTACCTACTCTATTGAAAATCACAGATATTTTATCTCTCAAGTCATGTTAATCTTAAGCAATCATTGAAATCTTCTGAGGCTTAGGTAGATATAGCCTATTTTTCTCAGAATATTTGTAGATACATAAGCTGTAGTAGTTTGAAATAACTTGCAATTATTAACACATTTACCTTAATTTCTTTTTAGTTAGGTACCAAAAATATTTCCATGTTTTAAAAATCAAGAAAGAATGTCTTTCTACATTTGTAAAAAGAACTGCTCTGTTTATCAGTATAGCATTTTTTGGTTCTCCAACCATTTTCCCATATGTTACTTTATAATTTTAAACCTCATAGCAACCTTTCCAAGGTATGCATGACAATATTTTTATTTTCATTTTCAGTCAGTCATTAGTTCAGTCAGTCAGCAAACATTAACTGAGTGCCTGCTGTGTGTTGGGTACCATGCCGGAGGAGACAGATCCCTAGCTGACAGCCTGGCAGTGGGGCTAAGTGAAGAGGGGTGTAAATGAGGAAACCACAGCCCAGGGATTGGAAGTGATTTGCCATAGGTGACAAGCCTTCTAAGTAATGTGATAAAAGCTAGAACCCAAATTTTGTTCCTTCTCACCTGCTGTACTTCCTTCTAAACAACCTTAAGCCTTTGTGAGGTACAAAGAATAACTTTAAACAAATTATTGCTTTACCAGCATCTTAAAAAATGGAGTCACACCTGTTATCCTTTGTTAGGTTAGTTCCATCTTATTAAACAGTCTTTATGATTATCCTAAAATTTACAAGATAATTAATTTTAGCAAAAAGATCAAGAAGTTTTTTAAACTGAGGTTGTTGTGGATTATTATTATTATTACTGATTTTTAAATACCTATAATTTTAAGAATATTTTCTAAGTGGATTTGAGGTTACCTACGTACTATATTTCTAATTCCCCTTTGTATAATCCAGCCCATTAAACACTTTGCAGATACTTTGCTAAACATCCAGACCTCTGCTCCATAATTGCATAGACTACTTAAACTTATTAAATATATGGAAACCCATAGATGACATGCTGAAACTGGTTAACCTTAACTGCCATCCTTTTCATCCTACAGAGAAACAAAATAGGAGATTGGGACACTGTCCCTGTGAGAAAACAAAGAAATAGGTTACATGTTATCTGGAGAAAAAACTATTGAATGGAAACTTTAAATTGGCTTTGCCCACATTTGCTAATACTTTATGAATTCTATGCCTTTCTATTGTTTCACCTGGTGCTAAGCTAACAGAAGCTAAGTAGTAATAAAAGGGATGATATGTAATTTATAGACATCATCATCCCTGACAGGAATTCCCATACCACTAGATTAGATTGGAGAGTCTGAAGTCATTTTCTCCATTGTTGGCATCATGGCATTTAAGCCATCCTGATTTCTGTTGGGGGGAGAGATGTAGGTATGGCCTGGGAAGTCAGTCAGAGCAGCACAAGTTGGTGATGGAAAGCACAGGACCAGTCCACCTGGTGTGAGTGTTCATCTGCAAGGATATAGTCTTCACCACACATTAGGTAGTTTGACTTTTTAATTAGGAAAATGAGCTGGCTTATCAGGTCTTGTGTTTTATTTTTAAAACATGGAAAGGTAGAGGACCAACATAGAAAAAAATATTTGGAGATTATAATCCTATTATAATGGGAATGGGAGAAGTGACATTTTATATATCATATCAAAATATTATGGTACCATGACCATCAAAATGTTAATGGTACCCATTCCACTTCTTCTATCCTAGAAAACTTTTCTTATCATGTTGATTAAACCTATCAACCATGTAATTATTCATCTTTAATCTTAATTTTCATATGCTTTATTGACTATGGAAAATTTTACACATTCTGCTTTTCTCTGGTTTATAGGTAAATCACAGAAAGTTTTCATATGTATTCTATAGCTCAATGGCCATGGCCATGTATCTCAATTTATTTAGCATAAAGGCATTCTGAAGAAGCCCAAACATGGGTTTAATTTCCCCACAGACCAGTTGACACCTATTGTTTCTTAGCCATAGTTCCTAGGTCTAACTAGGCCTATCCAGGTCTCTCCCAGGTCTAACCAGGTCTAGTGTTGTCTATCCTAGTTCTGACCAGAACCAACCATTTCCAAGCTTGATGTTGCACTGAGAAACCTGAACAAGAATGTTAAAAATCAGATGTCATTATTGTGAAAAAGTGCTTTTAATGGTATTGGGTTGGTGTCTATAATTCTCCCTTTGAATTGGAGTGTATTTATCTTTGTGTTTTAGTGATATCAACATACAAACTAAAATGTAGTAAGTTGATAGTTTAGATGACACTTCTCTGTTTTTCATAAATAATGAAAATAGAATAACTGATATATGTGAGTTAAAAGATACAGTAATGGCATTATAGGTTTGATTATAAATAATACCATCAAGATATTGAAGAGTTTGAAATTTCAGGATAAAAATAGCTTAAAAAATGTTTACACAATTTAAAATCCTTTTTGAAAATAGAAATCGAGATTAATAAAGTTTTATGACTATATGCATTTATAGTGTTTATAAATCTTAAAGTTTTTTTGCAAACATTAAACATTTTTATTTGTGATAGTAGTTGTGCATATTATCTTCTAACATTTTAGACTGTATTGATATCCATATTTGCCAGTAGGTGTCACTAAAACCCTGAGGTAAAGTTAACTCATCTTCATCTTGGTAGACAAAGAATTCAAAAATATGTTACACTCCTTGGGGACTCTAGATTCACACTGAATATTTTAACTTGCTCTAAAATCATCTGCCAGTAGGGTACCAATGAAGTTCAACCTCTGTCTCAGACCCTTAAAATGATAGTTTTAGGTGGACCTTAGCAGTCATATACTCCAGTGTTCTGTCCAGTACGGTATCCTTAACAGGTGATCCGTCAGTCTGTGTTTAATCACTAAGGACAGGGTTTTCACTTTATGGGCTGCTCTAGAATAGCAACTCTGCTTACTTCGTTTTGTCTCCCCAAGTCCAGGCTGTGTTAAATGCTTAGTCAATTACATCATTGAACATTTCTCATCATTAGAAATTTCTTTTATACTGAGCCAAAATCTGTCACACTACAACCTAGCCTTTTGGTCATAATCACGGAGACAGAATAATTTTATTATCACATCAGTTCTATCCTATACTTCAATAAGTTTTTCTTTCTCTCAATGAAGTATCACCACTCTTCCTAATTATTCTTCATAGGACATAGTTTCAGAACTTCTTTACTTTCCATCCTGGTTACTGTTACCTTAAAACTCCTATTTGTTCAGAGTCATCTTAAAACATGTTCCCCAGAATTAGGTATACTACTATAGATACAATCTGACTCAGCAAGGAGTATTATGGGATTATTATTTCCCATGATTTGAATATTACCAACCCACTTCCTCTAAATTCAGATATCTGGAAACTTCACTTTTAGAACATAAGAGAGAAAAAGCCAAAATGACTTCTGAGCGGTCACAGTGTCTCAGAGAGCACCCACTTTGCAGTGGACCATCCAAAGCTATTCCAGCAGACTGCTAACCAGTTTGGCTATTTGATTATTAATTCTGCAGGATAGTAGATGTAGCATATTAACAAGAAGAGAGAGACTGCTGTGCAAAAACCCATAGGCTAACATTTGTAAGAAAGGCATAAAAAAGGCAGGACAAAAAAATAAATAACTCAAAGAGGACAGACAGCAGTCTGGAACAAAATTGAATATTCCTCAGCAAGTCCTGAATACATCATTGTATTACAGCTTAGTATAGAAATTAATGTTTATGAGGAAGCACTTCTAGAATTATGGAGTAAGGACCTCTGAAAATCTGTTTCTCCATAAAAGCAATGAGAACACACACAAAAAGTGTCAAAACCAACAATTTCAGAACTCAGGAAATAAACCAAAGGCTTGCAACAATGAAGAGCAGTTAGTCAAGAAAAATGACTGAATCTTAGAACAGTGAGCTTAATGGCACTTTAACTTGCCCTGTTACCATCTCATTCTTCCCAGCTCAGCAGCCTTGAAAACCAGCAGGCTCAGGACTGCAGTAACTAGAAAACCAGCAGCCTATCAGCCACTGAAGCAAGCAAATCAGGCTTAGATCTCCCCAAAAAGCCACATCCCAAGAAAATTGTCACTATTTGACCTACCTGGCAGCTCCCTTGAAAAGTTGATTTGCAGGGCTTATCTTTTTTGACCTGACTCAGAGCTGGCTCAGTGAGGAAAGTCCTAACACCAGGGCATTTTGAAAAAAAAGAGAAGAAAATATTCAGTAGCAGTTGTTTAACATCAGAACTGCCTGAGGCAGAAATACCAGTTGGAGCAAACAGGATGTTGGCTAAAATTTGAAAGGGAAATCTGGGGAATGAGATGTTCATAAGGGGCTTTGAAAAGCTTCAACATATTCCTAGGAATCTATACGTAGAATGCTTTGTAGGGCTCTGTGCATGCCCAGGAGAGAACTGAAAAGGCCATAATCTCTCACCTCTGGCCGACCTTGAAGATCCGCACAAACAGTAATTCAAAGCTAAGTCAGAGTTGTGAACTGCTGAAGTACTGAAGGCATGTCCCAGGACACATGGAGCCCCTCAGCAAAGGCTGAAAAACTTAGTGGTTCAGGACATTTAAGGAAATCGTGTAGTCAGCTGACCACCAAGCTGCTTGAGCAGAGACTGAAGTGGCAGCATGCAACAGAGAATACAGACTTTACAGAATTTTTTCAGGAAGATCATTAAGCAGACAAACAGCAAAAGCAACAAAAACCCAGGTTGGGGGAACAGAGCAAGAATCTGATGGCCAGAGTTACAATTTTTATTCTTTAATGTCCAATTGTCAACCAAAAAAAAAAAAAAAAGTAAAACATGCAAAAAAAATAGAAAGTATGGACCATGCAGAAGAAAAAAGCAGTCAACAGAAACTGTTCTTGAGCTTAACAAAGATATTAGTCAGCTATTATAAATATATTCAGAGAACTAAAGGAAACCGTGTCTAAAGAATTAAAGTATGAGAATAATGTCTCTCTAAATAGTGATCAAGATATAGAAATCACAAAAAAGAACCACATAGAAACTCTGGTGTTGAAAAGTATAATAACCAAAATTAAAAATTCACTACAGGGATTCCATAGCAGATTTCAGCTGGTAGAAAAAAGAATCCATGAAATTGAAGTTGAGTCAATTGAGATTATCCATTCAGGATCAGAAAGAAAAATGAATTTGAAGAAAAATGAGCAGAGCCTCAGAGACATGTGAGACACTATAAGGATACCAACAGACAAATAATGGAAATCTCAGGAGAGGAAAGAAAGAGCAGAAAAAACGTTCAAAGAAACCGTGACTGAAAACTTCTTTACTTTGGTAAAAAATGTTAGTATTTACATCTAAGAACCTCAGTGAATGCTGTAGGTTAAACTGAAGAGATCCACAACTGCACACATCATAGCCAAACTGTCAGTAGAGACAAAAAGAATCTTGAGAGGAGCAAGACAAAAATAACTCATCATGTACAAGGGACTCCTCAATAAGATAAACAGCTCACTTCTCATCAAACACCATGGAGGCCAATGATCATCTATGTATAAAATCTGAATCTAATGTGTTTAGAGTAAGGTTGCAGGATTCAAGGTTAGCAAGAAAAGTCGATCACTTTCATCTATGCCAGCAATTAACAAGTAGAATTTGAAATTAAAAACATAACACCATTTACGTTAGCATCCCAAAAATGTAACACTTAGATATAAATCTAACAAAATAGGTACAAGAGCTACATGAGGAAAACTACAAAACTCTCATAAATGAACTCAAAGAACTAAATAAAGGGGGAAACATTCATGTTAATGGATAGGAAGACTCAATATTGTCAAAATGTCAGTTCTTCCCAACTTGATCTATAGAGTCAGTGTAATCCCAATTCCCAATATCCACAAACTGACTCTAAAGGGGACAGACCAAAAACCGAGAAGAGCCAGCAAAATATTGAAGGCTGAGAACAAAGTTGACACTTCCCAACTTCAAGACTTAAAAAGCTACAATAATCAAAATAATGTGGTACTGATGACAGAATAGACTAATAGTTCAGTGGAGCAGAATAGAGAGCCCAGAAATAAACCCATGTGAATATGGTTAACTGATGCTGACAGAAAGAACAAAGGCAGTAAAATATAATGGAGAAAGTATAGCCCTATTTGCAAATGGTACTGAAACAACCGAGCACCCACATGCAAAAGATGAATCTACATATAGGCTTTACGCCCTTCACAGAACAAACTCAAAATGGATCCAGATCTAAACATAAAATGCAAAACTATAAAACTTCCCTATAACATGAAAAAATGTATTTGACCTTAGTTTGGTGATAACTTTTTAATACAACAACAAAGGCACAATCCATGAAAGAAAGAATTGATAAGCTGGACTTCTTTGGAGTTAAACATTTCTGCCCTATAAAAGGCAGTATCAAGAAAATGAGAAAACAAGCCACAGGCTGGGAGAAAGATTTGCAAAAGACACATCTGATAAAGAACTGTTATCCAAAATATACAAAGAACTCTTAAAATTCAACAATATGAAAATAGTCCAATTAAAACATGGGCTAAAGACCTTAATAGATACCTCACCAAGGAAGACATACAGATGGCAAACAAACATCTGAAGAGATGCTCCACATCATATGTCATCAGGGAAATGGAAACTAAACAAGGAGACACCACTACAACCTAACAGAAATGGCCAAATCCAAAACTCCAACAACAGCAAATGCTGAAGACGATGTGGAGCAACAAGAATTCTCATTCATTGCTGGGGGGAATGCAACTGGTACAGCAACTCTGGGAAACAGTTTGGCAGCTTATTTCAAAAACTAAACATACTGTTACCATATGACACAGTAATCACACTCCTTGGGGTGGCGAATGGTTATATAAACTGTGGTGCATCAAGATAATGGAATACTATTCAGTGCTAAAAAGAAATGAGCTGTGAAGCCATGAATAGACATGGAGGAATCTTAAGTGATTATTACTAAGTGAAAAACCAATCTGAAAAGGCTACATACTGTATGATTCTAACTGTGACATTCTGGAAAAGGCAAAACTATGGAGACTGGAGTAAAAAAACTGGTTACCACGGGCTGGAGGGGAGGAGTGAGTAGGAAGCACAGTGGATTTTAGGGCATTTTAGGGATTTTTAGGGATTTTTGGAAAACACTCTATATGATATAATAATGATGGATACATGTCATCATACATTTGTCTGAATCCATAAAATATATGACACCAAAAGTAAACCATTATGTAAACTGTGGACTTTGGGTGATGATGTGTCAAAGTAAATTCATCAGTTGTAACAAATGTAATGCTGTGGTGGGGAAAGTTGTTAATGGGGGAGGCTCTGCTTGTGTGGTGGCAGGGTAGATGTGCAGGAAGTCCCTGTACCTTCCCCTCAATTTTGCTGAGAATGTAAAACTCAAAAAATCTACTTTTTATAGTTTTTTGACATCAAAAAATTGAGAAGACATCCCCAGATAAACAAAAACTCTGAGAACTTGTTACTAGCAGACCTGCCTTTCAAGAAATATTAAGGGAGTTCTTCAGGCTGAAATAAGACACTAGACAGTAACTTAAATCCACATGAAGAAATAATGAACAGCAATAAAGATGGTACATATGTATATAAAAGACAGTACAAATGTATGTTTCTTTGTTATTCTTTTATCATTTAATCGTCAACTGCATAAAGCAATCATTATAAAACTGTTGATAGGCTTCTAATGTATGAAGGTGCAAATTATAGGACAATAATAATACAAAGGAGAGTTAGGGAACAGAATTATATTGATGAAAAAGTTTATATACTTTTGAAATTAAACAGTATTAGTCTGTACTAGACTGTGTTACATGACGATTTTAGTTATAATCCCCAGAACAACCACTAAGAAAATAACTTTTTTAAAAATAGTACAAGAAACAAGAGGAAATCAAAATGATACACTAAAATGTATCCATTTAATGCAAAATAAAGCACTAACAGGAACACAGGCACAAAAAGACATAAGACATGTAAAACAAAGGATGAAATAGCACAAGGAAATACTAACTGGTCAGTCATTACATCAGATTAAATGGTTTAAACAGTGCAATCAAAAGGCAAGGAAGCCAAATGGACTTAAAAAAAACATAATCCAACTATATGATCTACAAGGGACATAACTGAGATTCAAAGACACAAGTGAGTGGAAAGTAACAGGACAGAAAAAGATATGACACACAAACAGTAACCAAAGGAGAGCTGAAGTGGCTACACTACTATCAGACAAATACAATTTAAGACAGAAATAATTCCAGGACGTAAAAAATGTGTATTTTATGATGACAAAAATTAGTCATCAGGAAGACTATAAACACATGTGAATTTAACAACAGGGCCCCAAAATACATGAAGCAAAAACTGACAGAACTGAAGGGAGAAATAGACAGTTCAAAAACAATGGTTGGAGACTTCAAAACCCCACTTTCAATTACATATAGAACAGTTACGCAGCAGATCAACAAAAAAAATAGATGTGAACTACATTAGGAACTAACTAGCCGTGCACATCTATAGAACATTCCACCCAGCAACACATTTCTTAAGTGCGCATGGAACATTCTGAAGGATAGATGATGTTAGACCATAAAGCATTAATGAATTTAAAATATTAAAGCCATGTAAAGTGTGTTCTCTAAACCATAATACACTTAAATTAGAAATCAACAACAGAAGGAACTTTGAGAAATTCACAAAGATGTAGAAATTAAACACACTCCTATATAAATAGGTCAAAGAAGAAATTACAGAGAAATTAGTGATTTGAGATGAATGATAACAAAAATATAACTACACAGATTTATGGGATGCATCTATATTTAAAAAGAAGAGGGCTCTTTAATCAATAATCTAAACTTCCACCCTAAGAAACTAGCTGAAGAGTAAATAAGCCCAAAGCAAACAGAAAGAAGAAAATAATAAAGGTGAGAGCAGAAATAAATGGAAAAGAGAACAGAAAACAATAGAATCAATGAAACCACAAGTTGGTTCTTTGCAAAGATCAACAAAATTGACAAACCCTAAGCTAGACTGACCAAGAAAAAAAAGAAAGAAGACTCAAATTACTAAAATTAGGAATGAAAGAGAGGCTATCACTACCAACATTATAGTAACAAAAAGGATTACTGTGGGAATATTATGAACAACTCTATACCACCAAATTAAGTAAACTAGATTAGATGAACAAATTCTTAAAAGGCACATATTACCAAAACTGACTCAAGAAGAAAGAAAACCTAAACAGACCTACAACAAATAGAGAAATTGTATTATTAATTTTTAAAAATTTACCGCAAGGAAACCCGAGACCCAGATGCCTTCACTAGTGAATTCTAACAAACACTTAAAGAAAAATCAATACCAAACCATAAACTCTTCAAAACAGAGAAGAGAGGACACTTCCCTATTCATTGTATGAGACTAGTTTATCTTGATACCAAACCAAAGACATCAGAAGAAAACCACACCCCAACAGCCCTTAAAACAGATGCAAAAATCCACAACAAATACTAGAAAGTTGAATCCAGCAACATATAAAAAGGATTATATATCAAGACCAAATGGGATTTATCCCAGGATGCAAGGTTGTAAAAACTGAAAATCACTCAGTGTAACATACTATATTAATAGAATAAAGGACAAAACCACAAGATCATCTCAACAGATGCAGAGACAGCATTTGACAAAATTCAATACACATTCATAATTAAAACAGTCAACAATACTAGGAATAGAAGGGGAGTTCCTTAGCCCTATAATAAGCACTTAGGAAAACCCCACAGCTAATGTCATACTTA